ATAAAAGAACTCACGACAAATTAAATAATAAATATAAATGAATAAAAATAAGCAATACATAATAAAAAATAAATTAAATATAAAAGAATAAATTAAATGAAGTTAGAATACCTCACTAAATAATTATTATTGTAAAATAAATAAATATAATGGGGATAGATACATTTCACCATCTAATCATAAATATAAAATAAATAAATAAAATATTAGACATCTCATTTCCTTACCTTAATAATTGTAAATGATAACAAAAATGTCATAAAAAAACTTATATATTTTCTCTTTCTCTCTTCTTCTTTTTTTTTCACCTTCTTTTTAACCTTCCTATAACTCTAATTTATAGTAATTTTTTATTTTTTTATTAAATTTAATATTAATTACATACTTGTCTCTTCACATGCAACCTTCTTTTCTTTTCTTCAATTTTTTACTTTTCTTTCTTTAATTATTGTTATTATTTAGTTTTGTTTTTTTAATTAATTATTAACTTTTTTACATCTTTTTTTATTTTTTTATACAATTTTTTAAATTTAATAATTTAAATAATAATAATAATAATAATATTTTTTTTAATAATTAAATGAGTATTCTATTATAAAAATATTTAAATTACCCATAATTAATACATTATATTTTAAAAAAATTACATGATAAATTATTTTGAAATGCTATAATTATCACCTCTATGTAACTTTATTTCTCTAACTTTTCCCTAACATTTTCGATTCTTTTCATTTTTTTCTAAATTCAGATATACCTTAGTATTCTTGCAGTAAAGGAGATCATTTTTGTTCAATCAAAATTTCATATAAAATAAATTTCTCCTTACCCAATTTTAGAATATTTTTGCATGCTTGAGTTAAGGTTGCATGTGGGTCACGGTACTTGCATGTAAAATTTGGTAAGAAAAATAAATTTTAATTAGTTTAAAAGTATTATGATATGTTCAATTTGTTAATTAAGATTTTCTTAAAACATGATTTATCTTCCCAAAAATTTAGGAAGTTGGAGTTTTTAAGCTTGAAAACATTGTGATTGAAGTAAAAAAAAACTAGGATATTCTTTAATTCTCATAGGTTATATGCATTGTAAAGGTGACTTATCACATTACTTGAATTAAATATGTTTGTGTGTTAATTGTTTGAGTTTGAATGTAAATTAATAATTAGCTTATATAAGATTGAGAATGATAATATTTTACATTGTTGTATTTTACTCATATTTAATTTGGTGAATCGATTTTTAATTTTAGAAGATAGTGTTTGGATTTAATTTAATTTGAAACTTTAAAAATGAGGTGTGCGATAAATTATCTATAGTTTGGTATTACTATTAAATTACTTAACGAATTTAATTTCGCTTAATAGATTTAAAACAATGTTAAAAATGTTTAAATTTTACTCAATGTTTTTAATTCTCCTGGCAGATTTAGAATAATCATAAAAGTTCATTTTTGTAAAAATTTCATTTAACAAAAATGTTACAAAAATAAACAATAGAAATATCTCCATAATTCGCTTGACTATTCAAATTTTGTTCAACATATCTAAAATTTGCTCCGCATTTTAAATATTCACTCTGCCATTTTCCTACAAAAGAAAATCTCAAAACTTTAAGGCCATTATGAGATTAACTATTATATATTCTTGTATTTGGAATATTAAGTTAAATACTAAACTTATTAGATAATTTATTATACTTTTCATTATGTTAGAAAGAAATGTATATATTATTTGATGTGGTTATGATGAAATGTTGTAACGAGAGAAATATAAAGGGATATTTCATACATGTGATGTAGTATGTATAAATATTAATATAAGTCTAGATAAGATATCTTAACACTATTGATCACTAAAATCACATAGATAAAATAATCAAGCGATGAGAGTTGAAAAAAATATTATCCTGGTATATATACCATATGAAGGACACATAGAGAGTTGTAATGTGATAGATACCAATATCTAATGTTTTATTTAATATATAATTTAATATAAGTTGGTATATTATTAATAATGTAAAAATGAATATATTTGTTATCAAAATAATGTGTAAAATAATATATCTTACAATTTATATTTTGAGTAAAAAGGAAAGTAGGTTTCGTATTTATTTATTTTATATTTCTTAAAATAAAACCGTTGAATCTAATAATTTTTTTAACAAATGTGACAAAATTTTTTAATTTGTATTAAAAAGCAATAAAACCATTAAATCTGACATATTTCTATTTATGATTCAATAGTTATAAAATTAAATTTATAAATCTGTCTTATCCTAATAAAATTATGGTATACGTATAAACTATTTAACATATATAAAGTAAAAAAGTTCTGAAATTAATTTCTCTATTCAAATTTTTTACAATTCATAGATGTCTTTTCATTTTATGTATAAATTAGTTTGAATTTGATAAAGTTACATATTTAAGGTTGAATTTTACACTCCTAATATTATTAAAAAAATTATTAATTACACAACTTCTAAGTAAATTTTATCAGATAAAACCTTATAATTATTAAACTTTATTCAAGATACTAAATTATTAATATGTAAGTTTTATTGATTAATCGTTACAATAAATCTTCACATTATTCACATTTATATCTCATATACAACAATACATAAATAATCATTACAATTTCATTTAATTATATATCAGTATATTATTATATATAATTTAAAAGATAGTGGGTTACATACAAGCTGTTAAAAAAATTGAACAATTTAACTGAAATAATTGAATTTTAAAAATATATATTAATCTTAACAAATAGTTGTGTATTTTTAAAATTTAATCGGTATAATTATTTTAATAAATATATATTTAAAATAGAAACTAAATTTATTATTTAATTAATAGTTGGTATTTTCATTTTTTTCTCTGAGTTTAGTTCTTTGATACATATTCTAATTTACATAATTACAAATATTGTTATCTATTATAAATTGATGAATATTGTAATTAATAAAAAATATAAATATAGTATGGACTATCAATTAGGGTTTAACTCTTTCTTAGTTTCTCATTGGGACTAAAAAATCATATTTTTCATAGACAAATAATACTTTAAAAGAAATTAGTAAGAAGGAAAAAAAATACGAGAGACAAAATAAAAGTAAAAAGTATTTTTTTATTATGATGAAATGTTATTAAAAATATGAGAAAATATTGATTTAAAAATATAATAAATAAATAAATAAAATATTTATATAATTATAAAATTATTCTATAATTATTAATTGATTTTTTAAACAAAATAGCTTTTAAATTAATATACTAAATTAAGTTTTATTTTTTTAAAAGTAGATATATAATTATAAAATAATTTTATCATAAAATTATATTTAAAAAATATTTAAGTTTAAATTAATGAAATTATATCACATTAAAAATATATTAAATTATTTATTTAATTTGTATTATAATTTTTTTGTTTATTACACTTTACTAAAATAATATGATAAAAATTTAATATACATGTAAATTAAAATCTTAAATATAAAACTGAATAATCATAAGAAAATAAAATAATTTTGTAAAATATACATTTTTTTATATTCAAATAGAAAGACATGTTTTTTTTATTATTTACCTGATTATTAGATAAAAAATATTTTAATTTTACTCATTTTCTTATTCTATTCGTTTTTTCACTCTTTATTATAGAAAAATCAATATATCCTTAAAATAAATATTAACAAAATCTAATTAAGTAATGATACAACAAGAATACGTAGAGTAAAAATATAGTCAAAATGATTAAATAATTATTTTGTATAATTTTTGTAATAATATAGAATTAAGAATCATATTAATAAGTTTTTATTGATTAGAATATCTGACATGGCATAAATTATTCTTATAATTATATTGATTTATGATACAAAATTAGTTATAATTGGGAAAGATAATTCACATATGATATTAGGGCCTTATCATTCTTTGACTTAATTATATTAACTTAATCTTGTATTTACTGTTCATTTATCTTTACCAGAAATGAATGGGAGTTCAAAATCTAAATTAACGGATTAACTACATAATTATTTTTATTTTAAATTTAAATCTTACATGAATATGAAGGTTTTTTTTTACTTGTTTTTAAATTGAACTAAATAATTATGTGCATTTTAAATCTGACCATTGCTCAAACGTAAGTTCGAGAGGGCAATGGGGATTCAATATATTTCTCCGCAGCCAAGTATTTACATTTCATAATTTGAAGTTTTCTTTTCTCGTCGCAGCGAACGACCAAGGTTTCTTCACCACTTGCCCTAGCTGCCTGCTGTTATTTCATTAATCATCGCCATCATTGGCTTGTTTTATTAAAAGTGCGGGTTTGTGGTTTATTGTTATATGGTTTCCTTATTCCTTTAAGGTGTTTGATACAATGTCTATTACAGTTACCAGTAGTTTCTCCTCTATCTGTTCAATTAGTTTGTTTGGAAAATCTTATGGTACCGACATTTATCTTTTTATTTGTGTAATAATAGTTTCTAGAAAGAAACAAGGTAACCCTCGAGGGTTGGCTTACTGGTGGAGGGGGATTTGAATAATTTGTACGAGTTTTTAGGTTCTAACTTCTAACCTTGTTGCCACCATTGTACACAAAAAGAAAGAAAGAAGAAACTAGGTTGGTCAGGTTCGTGATTCCGCAATATTGCATGCCCATCAGACTGGTATCGAACTGGGGACACCATTTGGGTCTCTGTTTGGATTTGTTTAGTAACATGAAATAAGTTATCACTTTTTTTATGATGCGTTTTATAAATTATCTAGAAATACAATCTGTGTTTTCTTCTAAAAAGAAGGTTGGAAGAAATAATTTTATAAAGTTTTTCTTTTCTCAATCACCGGAAAAAATATCCAATAGGAGAAAATGATACATAATTTAATTTAAAATACTATATTCATATTTCATGTTCTTGAGTTAATACTTATTCAATTTATATTACATTCTTGGCTGTGTTTATGTAGACAGAACTGAAAAGAGATGGGATTACCAAATGCTTTTGAGGACTTGTCATCAGAATTGGAGGTTGATGCTTTTAGGCGCCTTTTTCCACTTCGTTATTTTGAGCGTCATCTTGCCGAATCAATAAGGACTGATGGTAGACCACTTGGAAAAGCTAGAGAAACAAGTATTTTTCTTGGTTAGTTACTTTTTCTCTCTTCTAACTTAATATCTGCAAAATCTTTGCTATGTTGTATATTCACACTTGGATCAAACTTAGATGGTAAACTCATCTGATTAGGTGCTGTTGCATCTGCTAATGGGTCGGCTCTAGTGAAGATTGGATCAACTGTTAGTCACACTTCCTGTGTCTTTTTTGTTAAATCTTGCGTGAATTTGGGTTCTTGATTTTATTATGTGATGGATTTAATGATTTCCTAATTGATCTCTGCCCAGACTATGTTGACTGCTATCAAAATGGAGGTTATGACTCCCTCCTTAGAGTCACCGGACGAGGGCTGTCTAGGTTGGTTATTGCTTGCTGTGCCACTTATGTGTTAGTTGTTCAGTCTTCTTCTCACATGCCATAAAATTAACACGCTAATATATGTTATCACAGCAATTGATTTCTTCATGCCTCCAATTTGCTCTCCAATTGTTAGGCCTGGCAGGCCTGCTGAAGCATCACCAGTGGTGTCAAAGCAATTGTCTGACACCATTTCAAGGTATGTTTTGATCTTTTCTGTCTTTTTGTAAGGTTCATTATTTCAGATGATGAAAGAAACTAATTTATCAAATTCGCTCCAGCTACCTTTAACTAACCACAATAAACAGGAAGCACAAAAGAAAGAAGAAATTAAAAAGGGGGAATGTTTGTAATTTATTTTCTGAATTCTACCAAAGCCACTTCACCCTCCTTTCCCTATAGTACGATTTATGCTCAATGCAAATATTCCTTTTTAAATGAGGATTTGTAGAAGTAATTGTGCCTACCCTTGACACATCTTTTGATGTATTCTTACTGTCTAGTACATAGAACTTTGAATGTTAATTCTGATCACAAAATTTGTTAACATTTAGTTGAAAGTATGCTGGTTGAAGCGGTCTGTTGATCAGACACAATTTCCCCCATCAATTAGTGGTTTCTATGGTTTGCCACACCCGAGATCTCATTTCATGGTATGTTTAGGACAGAGGAGTTTTAGGGAAAAGTATGGAAGGGTAAAATTTTCTTTTGATGTAAATACTCTCTAATATAATTTTCTTTAGAATCATAGGCTATCATGAAACCTTCTAATTAAAACTGAAACTGCACCCTCCCTTTTCCTCAAAAGCCCTCCATCCAAACATATAGGGTCCGTGCCAACCATCATGGTGATCAATAATTTGGATTGTTTGTTTGATTTGTGAAATTGGACTCTAGTAAATTAATCTATCTTCTTTTTTTCAACCTATACATTTTTCTGCAGTTCTAAAATGATTGATTTGAAAGAATTGTCGCTGGTTAGTGGAAAAGCTGCATGGATGGCTTACCTGGTAAGCTTTTATATTGATTTGCGTTTACCAAATTTCACATATGAACCATAGAAAGTGATAACAATTTGCTTATTACGTGGTGTCTAAGTCCCAAAATAAATAAATGGGATGCTTATCAATTCGTACTAGAGTTGGTTGTCAGTCTCTTGGAAAGGGCTACCTACAATGGGTTTTGACTAGTGGAGGGTTCTCATGACCAGATAGAAAGTTGAGTGAAGTGTTATGGAATGAAGTGTCACAGAGTGGAAGCTGTCAAGATGTCACCTCTCAGCGGCTGTGCTATGAGACTTCAGTATCATGGGGGTCTATTTCCCTCATCGAATAGAATTATCCTGGGAGTAGTATTAAAATGTTTGGATGCCACAATTGGATGGGCCCATTCAGGCATTTAGGGGTAGTGTTCTATTATAAACTGTAAACCATTTACGTACTATAAAAGGGGATTATTGGAATGTTGTTAAGACTACTTTTCAGAATTAGAAAGTTGTTTGGAGTGTAGTGGATCTCTCTAAATATATGGAGTGTGTATGTATGATTCTTATATGTAGATATTTCCTATCATTCAATAAAGATTTACTTTTTTCTTGCTTTATATGTGAAGAGTTCTATCAATTTAAGTCAAGATCAAGCCATTACCTTGAAGGAAGGTGCTATTTAGTCTTGAGACCATATATGTATCCACTATCAAAAAACTGAAATTGAGAAACTAGTGAGTGAGATACTGTATGAAGGATTCATTAGACTGAGTATTAGCCTGTACTCTCGAGTCCTATTATTTCAGATGGGAGTTTGTGATTTTGTGTAAACCAATGAGCGATGAGTTACTTGATGATGTAGTTGGGCAATAATTTTTTCCAAGATGGAATTTAAATCAATATACAGCCAATTAAAGAGGACAATATTCAGAGAATTGCTTTCCACACCCATGAAGGGCATCATTACTGGTCTGTTTGGTAGAGATGAGAAAAATAAATAGGTAGAGTGGGGAAGTGGAGGTGTTTGATTGAAGAAAAATAAATAAGAGAATATAAGGAAATAGAGTGATTAGTAGAAATAGGTGCCTAGGATTAATTTCATCTTCGCCCATCCTCTCAATTCCTTCAATACCAAAGAAAGACTAAGAGTTTTTGTGATGCCTTTTGACCTCACAAATGCACCCTCTACTTTTCTATCCCTTTTGAACAAGGTATTAAGACCATTTTTGAGGAAATCTGCTTTAATTTTCTTTGGCATTCTCATTTACAACCCAAATGAGTCTTTCCACCTGGAATACATGAGTTCCAAATTTTGATCTAACATTAATTGACTGTTAACAAGAAGTGCCTTTTTGGAGCTTGGGGCATGTTGTTTCAGCTGCCTGAGTAGAGGAAGACCCAAAAAAGGGTACGCTATTGATGATTTGTTGAATTATTGGAAATTGGCTAGACCGTTGGTTGATTTCTTTCAAGAATGTTTTAATTATCTGCTACTGCTCAAGACGCCTTTGAATCTGTTAGGAACCAAGAATTAAACAGAAAAAGAAAAGAAAGTTTCTTTATTGTATAGAATGAAAAGAACAAGAAATAGGATTTCTCCTTTTACAAAGAGCTAATGCTCAATTTACAAAAAAAAAAAAAAAATATGAACCCCCTTTTCCTATCCTTCACACCCTATTTATATCTAAACAACACCTTATGCAACTAACTAACTCATCAATATAACTCATTAATATGCTAAACACATTAATTGTTCCAGACTTCACAATAACCTTTGTAGTGGAGATTGATGCTTCAAACAAAAATCTGGGAGGTGTTTTACTTCAAGAAGACAGGCCTCTAGCATTTTTCAGCGAACCATTATCTAAGAGTGCAATCGAAGTTGGTTTACAAGTGTAAACTCATGGCAGTCATAGTTGCTGTCCAAAAATGGAAGCTCTAGTTAATTGGAAGACATTTTTTCATTTTAACCAGTGATTGGTTACAGAAGTCCAATTCAAATGGACCTCCAAAATTTTGGGCTTCAACTTTGAAATTGAATACAAATCAGGTACTAATGTCAAGGGAGCGAATGCCTTTATCAAGGAAAATGACTTAAGCTACCATTTCTCGAGTTCTATGTGAAGAATGGGATGGATTACATGAATGGGACCCATTTGGGATTTTTCAGAACACTCAAATGGCTAGCTGCATTGGTGTCTTGGGAAGGTACGAAGAAAGACATCCATGATTTTAGTGATTGATGTGACATTAGCCAATGGAATAAATTCAAAGCTTTATCTCCTGCTGGCCTTTTATATCCATTATGAAATTCCCACACATGTTTGGTATGATAAATCAATGGATTTCATCACCGATGTCCCCAGGGGGTATTATTTATTTTGGTGATACATAGTTTCTCAAAGTATGCATATTTTTTTTTCTCCTTGCAACACCCTTTTTCAGCCAAGGATGGGTTCACACCTATTTTGATTTCCAACAACTATTGTCACTAATAGAGACCAAGTCTTCCTTGGTCACTTTTGGGCAGAATTTTTCAAGTAGGTAGACCCAAAACTCAAGTATAGCACAGTATATCACCCCCAAACTGACTGCCAAATTTAACTTGCCAATAGGTGCTTAGAAACATATATAAGATGTTTTCAGGGGAGAATCCAAAACAATGGCCGAACTGGCTATCCTGGGTAGAGTATTGTTTTAATACCATATACCATAGTGTTCAGCCAAAATGTGTCCTTTTCAAGTCCTATTTGGTTGCACCCCTCCAATATTATTCAAAGGAGATACTTTTTCCTCTAAGGTAGAATATGCTATTTGACTTTAAAACGAGAGAAATAATATATTACAACAACTCAAACATAACTTGGACCAAGCTCAACAAAGGATGAAGTGTCATGCAGACAAGAAAAGAAGAGAAGTAGAATTCAGTGTTGGTGATTTTGGTGTTATCAATAGATTGAATGACAGAATAATGGTGCTTCTTTATCTTGCAGGATATCTATTGTTTGGATGCTGATGGTGCGCTTTTTGATGCTGCATTACTTTCTGCAGTTGCTGCTTTATCTCATTGTAAGTAGTGCATCTTCACTATAAATTAGTCATATTTTGAATCTGTTAGGCCCCTTTTTCAGAATAATAAGCTGCACATTTGAAAACTTTACACAATGCAATTTAAGAGCAAAGAGAAGATAGAGTTGTACTGATATGATTCCAAAAGAAATATTCACATCATGTACAAAGAGAATTTGTGTTTCTGTTGATGTTCTTGATGTAATACCTTTCAGCACTGTTGTTGTATTACCTTATTGGGTTTGTCTTATATGAATTTCTACGTTGACAGTGCAAATTCCTGCTGTTGCCATGAATGATGATGGCAAGATAGTACTTGTGTCTGATGAAGATGGACGTAAGCAAGCACAGGAGCCGGTCAATAAGGAAAAGAGGAAGCTTACATTAAGAAGCATTCCTTTCTCATTAACATGCATACTTCACAAGAATTACATCTTGGCAGATCCTACTGCAGAAGAAGAATCCATTGTGGAAACCCATGTGACAATAGTTTTGGATACATCTGGCCAACTAATATCACTTTACAAGCCTGGTGGCCCGGTTCTTGCCTATACTTCTGCTATCCAGGTTAGTTTACACATTTTTTGACTGAAGTAACAAGGTGAACCATATGAAAGTTATAGCACTGACATGAATGCATTAGTGATCAATTTTGGAAAAATTAATGTACTTTTGAAATTTTAACTCGGTCGTTCAAATTTAAATGAATATAAGATGTGAAGGTCCACTGAGACCTTCATATAATGGCCCATCTGATATACTTTAAGGCTTGCTTCTGTCTGATTGAGGTTCAATTTTATTTTTTAAATCCTCTTTCAATGTTTAGTTGTACTAGAGTTTTTGTGATTCAATCTTTTCCTAAATGTTCATTCATTTTACATTTTTATTGAGTTTTATATTTGTAAGGTGAAATAATACCGCGTTATTATGATTATGCAATTTCAGGATTGTGTCGCCTTAACCCGGCAAAGAGTAAAGGAACTAAAAAGCTTCTTAGACAAAGAAAATCCTGATATGGAGGTTTGAGTAGAATTATGCAACCATCTCTTCTATCGTGAGTGTTATTTAAATTTGTACATTCTGGATACTGCGGCATTTCATTATAAAAGTGGTTCCTTTCACGAATGTTACACCACCTATCTGGACATTCTATTGTCACTCCGGCATTTCATTTTTAACACGTCATTGTTTGCTTTTGGGATATAATTGTGTTCAAAAACTGCATCAAACTATTTCAAACTTGTAAAAGCTAAGCCAAACAAGCCGTTTAAAAGTTGAAAATAGAAAAGTCATTATTTTCAGCTGTTTGGTTTTTGTTCTTATATGCAAAACTAAATCCAACTGAAACGCTAGGTATGTTAAATTTAATATTATTAATTTTCCTATTCTACTGATATAAGTTGTAATCCAATGTGTGTTATACCAACGGTATTTCAAATAAGTGCAAATAGTATTTATTTAATCATGTTCTTTAAGTTAAATAATATTCCAATCAACTGTGTTAAAAGAAAGAATTTTTAAACTATATTTATTTATGCATAATGCATGAAATAATTTTAAATAGCATTTGTATTCATATAGTATCTGTTATACAGTTATTGAAATTTATTTGTCTGTTTGACAGATCATTATAGCAGTTTTATTTAAAATTTTTAAGAAACAAGACTTAATAGATTCAATCTAAAGAGCAAAAGTTTAGTAGATTGTATTGATTTGAAAAACATTATTTTCGAACTGATCCAACTTAAATTAAAACCTTTCTCTGATTGTATCTGATACCTTTCTGAATCGATTTCAATGAAACCGCGAAATTTAGATTTTTATTTGTTATCGTCACTGCCTATATACTTTTAGAACTTGATACCTTTTTCTGTGAAAACAAAGAGAACTTGTTTTATGATATTTTACTTAATTGTTTGTTTGTTATTAACTAAGTGTTATTTTAAAATTAAACAGATTTTATCATTGGTGATATTTTTTTCACTTTAAAAATTTTTGGTGAACAAATTTTGGAGGTTTATGGTGATTAAGATATTAAGTATTTTTAGGTAGAAATGTAAATGAAGTTTGAAAAATTATAAAGATTTTTTAATATGAGGTTGAACCTTGACGTAGAGAAATTTTAAGATTGTTTTTTTTTTTTGGATAAATTTTGAGATTGAAAAAAATATAGTTCGATCAATTCAATTTATCAAGATTTTGAGAAGCAAAATAAAATTTCGAATATTTTGCTAAATAATAATATTTTATTTGTCATTGATAAAAAAAATTCTTTTACATTTAGTATTTGTCGTGGGATTTTATTACTAGTGTTGGTGTGACTATTAATTTTTATCTCATCATCTGTATTTGTTTACATATTATTTATTTTACTTAGTTAAATTTTTTTTATCTCCAATAAATCTATTAATTTTACGTTTGTACCTTCATAATATTTTCTTCCTTTATTTGTTTTAGATAAAAAGAAATTTATACTTAATTTATTCAATTAAATTTGATTTAGGGTTTAGCGTTTATATATATATAATCACAAAATACTCGGATTAATTTTATCATCACCAACACATATGTTATTTTAAAGTCTTATGACAGCAAGAAGACTTTGACAATAAATATCCTAGAAACTATTTAATGATAAATGTTAAAAATTAAACCAAAGTTTTAATTGTGTCAATATTTCTTGTGCGCAACATAATTGATGAAATAAAAAATGGTAAGATTAAAATTTAAAATAACTTGTTCAAAGAGATTTATTTCAACCTATTAATTTTTGGGGATATTTTATCCATTATTTAGACATCACTTACTTTATTTACTTTCTATAAATGATATACATGTCATTAACACAAATTGATGAAAACTACAACTTTTACTATACTCACCAATTAAAGATCCAAAATAATGAAAAAGCCTATACTTAATTAACAATAGTGAGATTTAAAATATTTATGAGGAACAAAATATAAAAAATGAATTTATTAGGGACCAAAAAATTATTTAACTCAAAATAAGAAAACACATAAAAAAAAATAACATAACCTAATGGTAAGGACCAAATGCAAACAAAAACAAGTCGTTAGGGATTAATAGAGTATAAAAAGTTTATATGAGAGACCAAAGATAAAATTAATGAATTTATTAGAAACCATAAAGGTGGTATTTGAAGTAAGGGATTAAATTACACAAAGATATATATGATGAAAATGCTATATTGAATCACATTCTCACTATAATTAACATTTATGTGATAATAGATATTGCCCATTGAAATAATAAGTAATGTGTTTGTATTAATATTAATGCCATCAAAATGGGTCATTAAACTATCATAGATTGACGGGTAAATGTTCAACATGGATTGAAACACATTTAATAAAAAATATATATTTTTATATCTTTTTTAATAATACAATAATGTACTAAGCAAAAATAAGTTTATTAATATTTTTAAGTTTCTTACCAGAAAAAAAAAACAACTACAACTAATACTATTATTATCTTTATCAAAAGTCATCGTGAAGGTAATGAAAAGTAAAAGGTTAAGATACGTACCATAAAAATACAAGATAAATAATTAGTATTTAAGTTGCCAGGATTAAAATACAGAAAAAAATAACTATAATGTAAAAATGATAAAATATTTACCTTATAAAATAATTAAAATATTTTTAATTTTAAAAATTGTCTTTTTTTAATAACAAATTGATTTTAAAATCCATTTCTATTGGATGTTTTGAACCCTCCTTTCAAGTAATCCATATCATTATATAAAAATGATTTTTTTAACCAAATTTGGTGTCAGTACTTTTAAAATAATATTATCTTTTATCAAATAAAATATAATTAGCTTTATATTGTTAACGACGAAAAAGGTTAGATAAAATAAAATAATTATTTTAAAAATTAATCATATAAAAATATAAATAGACAAATACATCTTAAGAGTTATTATAATCATTAATAGAAATATAAGTGTTAAAGTGTTTGTTTATATTTTTTATAATTACTTTTTAAAAATATTATTTAAATTATTTTATTTTCTCTTTTTATTTTTTTTAAATATATAAATTATAATAATTATTTTTTCTTTAAATTATATAACATTTTTTTAAAGATACAAATAAAGTGGTTACAAAATAATCCCTCTATATATTTACTCATCCATAATTATTAATTTTCTTAATCATTATTATTATAATTTTTTATCTAGCATACTTCTTTAAAAGAAATAAAATCGAAATAAATTGTATGTCTTTGTAAAATAAAATAAGTTTGTTCTCTTTTTCACCCCAAATCCGTATATGAGATCCGCACAAGTTTCAAGAAAACAATGCTTACGTTGTCAAAGCTTTCATAAAGCAATTTGCTAGAAATATAAGAGTATATTTGTTAATAAGAGTGATTTAAAAATAAAAATAAATATTTTATTATAAATGTGTGGTTGGAAAAAGTTAAAATTAAAATTAAAATAAAATATATATAATTCAAATATTTAATTTTATTAACGACTTGTTGTGTTTCTTTAAAAATGCTTGCAATTCGTCCTCAAAAAACGTGCATGTTTGGGTCTTTCGCATACGTGACCATTTGGTAGTGCACAATCACCATTTTCAAATTTTGTCGTTGATGGATTCTCCATAACTCTTCACTATCTTACTCTACCGCAGTCACTCTGTTCACTGACACACTGTGTTTCCCCTTTCATCTTTCGCTCTTACAATGCTTTCATCAATTTGTTTCTGTACTTGACCTTCGTTTCATGGCTGTATTCCTTAGAACCATCACCCCGATTTTAATGTTTATGGTGCATAGTTAGAAGCAACACCCTCTTGTCATTTGGTGTTTGAGAATGGATGAACAAGGTGGGGAAGACGAGTTCAGGAGGTGTAGCAGAAGTGCGTCGGGGGGGTGGAGGTGTAAGGAGAGGGCAATGGGGGGAAGAAGGTACTGCGAGAGGCATTGTTTGTATTCACGGCAGAGAAACGAGATTAAGAAGAAGAAAGTTGCCTCTGGGTGTATTGGTGTGCCCCAGAAAAGAACAAAACAAAGAAAAAAACCTGAAGGTGATTTGGAAAATGGGGTTGTGGTTGGCGGAGTTGTTGGCAACGGGGCTAAAGGGTTGTTTGGCGATCACGATGGTGGTACCCATGCTGTTGAGGAATTTGCTGGGCTATATGGTGAAGGGAATGACGGTGGGCTGCATGTTGCTTTAGGCTGTGAAAGTTTTCGCCTTTGGGGTGAAGAAGAGGGTCAGCATGTACATGTGCATGGTTTTGGGGGAGGATTTGGCACTCTGGGTCAGGTTGAAGGACGGGTTCAATGTCAGCCATGGAGAAACGGAAATGCTGGTGGGGTTTTTGATGACGTCCAGGGAGGTCATGCAAGTAGAGCTGGTGTGCATGTTTGTGAAAATGATTTTCTGGAACTTACTTCTGAAGGTGTAGAAGGGCTAATGGTTGAAGCTGATTTTGATAGTCTATATGATCAGGGCTGTGAGGAAGATGTGATTTTCGTTGGCTCTGATATAGCCATGCCCGACTCTGCTGCTCCTGGTGCTCCTGGTGGTACGGGGATTCATGGGTTGGGTAGTGAAAATGCGTACGAGTTTAAAGGTGAAGAAGTTGTTGAGTATGTAGGAAATCCAGATGGATATTGTAAAGTTAAAGGTGAAACTTTTGATGGCATAGATGTGCCTGGGTCAAAGGATAAACATGTTCACACCAATTGTAAAGGACAAACTGTTACTGGAAATAATAAAGCAGGAAAAAATGGGATGAATAGTGTCACAGTTTTAGGGTCTGTCTTTAAAATTATTGATGAAGGTGAAGTTCTGGATGAGATTGTAAGGCCAATGAAAAGTGATCGACCAAAGGATTCAACTGGGAAGTGTAGTGTCGCAAATCTAGAGTCTGTCTCTAAGGTTGGTGAAGAAAGTGCAGGGCTGATTGATATCAGGGGGACAAATAAATGTGGTCGACGAAAGAGTTCAAAAAAGGTGAGTAGTGCCATTGTTTTAGAGTCTGAAAGATCAGTCTTTTCTGTTGAGGAAGAAAAGGCTGGTGATGAAGTTGCAGGTCTGGGTGAGATGTTGAGGCGGCCAAAGAAGCGTGGTCGACAAAAGGGTTTAAATAGGATGAGTAATGTCACAGTTTTGGAGGAAGGCGAGGCTGATGATGAGGAAGCATGTTTGGGTGAGATTGTTAGGCCGAAGAAGCTTGGTCGACCTAAGGGTTCAACAAATAGGATGAGTATGATGACAGTTTTGGAGTCCGAAAGACCATTGCTTTCTGTTGAGGAAGGTAAGGCCGGTGTTGAAGATGCAGGCTTGGGTGAGATCGTGAGGCCAAAGAAGCGTGGTCGACCAAAGGGTTCTAGGAATGAAAAATTTGTTTTGCATGTAAGTGATAATGTTGTCGTCAAATTTGCAGGAACCAGGACGCTTGGCCGACCAATAGGTTCAAGAGGACGACCAAAAGGTTCAAGAGGAAGAAATAAGAGTGTTGTGTTGGTTGGTAATCAAGTTGTTGGTGAGATAGCAGGACCCAGGAAGCGTGGCAGGCCAAAGGGTTCAAAAAATAAAATGAATAATATTGTTGAGATTGATAATAAAGTTGAGGTTGAAAATGAGGTTGCGGGTTCAGGTGAGATTGCAGGACGTAAGAAACATGGTCGACCAAAAGGTTCCACAAAAATTAAGAAGAATGCTCTGGAGGTTAATAATGAATTTGCTGGTGATGGTGAGGTCAGAGGACTTAAGAAATATGGTCAACCGGAAGGTTCAAAGAAATGGTGTACTGGTGTGTGCACTTCTAGCAATGAAGTGGCAGTTGAGATTGCAAGACAAGATGTGGAAAACAAAATGTCGAGCAATCTGTGTCAAAATGTTTTAGATGAACTTGCAAGCCTAAATAATAAATATGGTCCGTCAATGAGTACAAGAAGTGACAAGAAGAGTTTTGTATTTCAGGGTCAGATGTATCCAGAGATGTCTAGTTATAATCATGTAAAAGGTGATGATGGAAGCACAAGTGGTTTGGAGAAAGAAAAAGGGACGCCTCGAGAACCAGTCAAAGAAATTGAAAACAATAAGATTACATGGTCAATTGTTAAGCGTGGTCGCCCAAAGGGATCAAGGAACAAGGTAAAACTAGCAGGTCAGGACATGGCTTCTGAAGTTGTGCTTGCTGATATAGTTCTTTGTCCTGCAGATTTGGGAACTGTTGCAACTTGTGCTATAGGTGAGGAAAACATAGGTTCTTTTCCCAAAATATCTGGCAGTGCAAAATGTGTAGATGGGGATGACAAATACTGTGTTAAACCAAAGCATGGTCGACCAAAAGGATCTAAAAATATGGTTAGAGAAGCTGGAAACAATTTTGACAAGGGGCAAAAAACGCATAGTATGCCAAAGAATTCTAATAGAAAGGAAAAGGAGTCTGCTTACCAATTTGATTCACTGATAGAGAGCCATGGTCCTGTAGTAGATAAAGAAGGAAAAATTTCTGCTGAATCTGCTTCCAGAAGTGATATAAGTCAACAGAAAAAGAATTATAGCCAACAAAAGAGTTTTAGAAGTACAAGACAAACAATTAAGCAAAGCCAATCATGGGGTCTAAAAGAACAGACACCAGCTGGTGTTAATATAGTAGATGAAAATGAGTCCGATGGTGTTACACAAAGATCCACGATATATGTGACAAAACAACCATTACAAAATCAGAATATTACTCGTTTCAGCAAAGTTTTGAGTAGGATTAAGCCACAGAAGCAGGTGCTGGAAGAATGCGTTTCAATGCTAGAAGATCAAGTAAAAGAGGTAAAGAAGTCCGATTTTCTTCTTGAATTCTCAGAGGATCCTGGAAATGAAAATGCAAAAAGAACAGGATTGACTGGTAGAACCAACTATGATCAGAAAAGACGTAGTGAAAGACTGAAAGCATTGCTTATCGATGGCAAGAATTTTCAGGGTGTTGGAGGGGAAGAAGCTATATACCATGGATTGGAATCTAAAGTTTTGTTGGTGAGTTACCCTATATAGTTACATTATTGTATATCCAACTTGATATCTGCAATGTCAGCTGAAACCTGCACATGACAATCATAACTTATTTCTGTCGGAGATTTTGTTAGTTCCATGGACACACTGATGTTTCTTTTTGTGACTTTACATTTCTATTTTTTAATTTCATCATTTTCCTAATTTGAATTTATTTGTACTGATTTATGTTTGTAGAGTGATACGGAGGCAAGGACTTTAAGGTGCCACCAGTGCTGGCGAAAAAGTAAGAGTGGTGTTGTCATTTGCATCCAGTGCAAGAGAAAGAGATATTGTTATGAGTGCATAGGAAAATGGTAAAGTTCACTTATTTGTTTCCAGGGTTCTATTTTCCAATGAATTATCCTAAGGGGACACTTTATAGAAGGGAAATTTTGAGTTTTTTCTAGGAATCTGAGGTTGGTAAAGTATGTTCCCACATTTAGAAGGTAATATTCCCAGGAAATTATATTTTTTGGGAATGGTATTTAGGCAAGTTTCCTACAAATGCATCTTCGTGAGGGTGGTGAGAATCCAACTTTCCCTAGATAAAATAAATTTTTTATTGAAAAGATACTGTTTTGGTCTTATTAATGTTAGGTATCAGACTACTTGCACAAGAACTCAACTAAAATAGAGAAGAGAAAAATTGAATAACAATAATAGACAAAAGTAAAAATTTTATAATAGGAAGAAAAATTACACACCCCTTCTCTAGTCCTAAGAATGACAACCCTTTCTAATACTAGAGAAAGAAAGAAAATTTGGGATGGATAGAATGGGGGGTATGTGGTTTCTTATATAACCACTCACCCATACCCTTTTGAAGTACCCACAGATGTGGGACTTTGTTCTCACAATCTCCCACTTGAAGATTTTGATGAAATTAATCAAATCTTCACACCATGGTTATCTTTTCCATCTATGCTGCTTATGCTTTCAATAGGCCATAACAGGATCGACTTTGTATAAACTTGTCAGCATTTACTGGTTTTGTCAAGGCATTTGCTAGGTTATCTTTGGTATGAATCTTCTGCATATCCACACTCCCTTCCTCTACTACTTCTCTGACAAAATGATATTGTACTCCTATGTGTTTTGTTCTGGAATGAAAAGCTGGATTCCTTGCAATGTGCAAGGCACTCTGACTGTCACAATACACATTGATCTTCTGTTGCTTGTGTTCGAGTTCTCCCAATAACCTTTGAATCCAAATTGCTTCCTTGCATGCCTGGGTAGCTGCCATGTACTCCGCCTCTGTAGTAGATAAGGCTACAACAGTCTGCAGTTTAGATAGCCAACTTACCGCTCCACTTGCAAGTGTAAACACATATCCTGTAGTAGATTTTCTTTTATCAAGATCACCTGCAAAATCTGAATCAACATATCCTTTGACAATAAACTCTGATCCTTCAAAACATAATGCAGCATTTGAGGTTCCTTTAATGTATCTTAGGATCCTTTTCATAGCATTCCAGTGCTCTCTACCAGGATTTGCCATAAATCGACTAATTGTCCCAACTGCTTGTGCAATATCTGGTCTCGTACAAATCGTAACATACACAAGACTTCCCACCGTCGATGCATACGACACTCGAGACATTTCCATCCTCTCTGCTTCACTGCTAGGACACATATCTGAGGATAATTTATAATTGATAGGCAATGGGGTAGAGATTGGCTTACAATCTTGCATGTTGAAGTGCCGCAAGACTTTCTTAAGATAATTCTTCTGAGAGAGCCAAATCTTCCTATCATTTTTGTCTCGGTGAATTTGCATCCTTAAAATTTTGTTTGCGAGTCCCAAGTCCTTCATATCAAATTCCCTAGCCAACTGTGCCTTCAATTCTTGGACTCGATCTTTGTTGGGGCCTACCACCAACATGTCATCCACATACAACAGCAAAATGATGAAATCATTATCATCAAACCTCTTGTAATACATACAATGGTCTGAACTCAACCTGCTGTATCTGAGGCTAATAATGAAAGAATCAAATCTTTTGTACCAACACCTTGACGCCTGCTTTAAACCGTACAAAGATTTGGTCAATCTACAAACCAAGTTTTCTTTTCCTTGTTCTTCAAAGCCTTCTGGTTGGAGCATATAAATTTTTTCTTCAAGTTCTCCATGAAGAAAAGCAGTCTTTACATCCAATTGTTCAAGATATAAGTCAAATGCAGCACACATAGCCAACACTACTTTGATAGTGGTAAGTCTAACCACCGGAGAGAATATCTCATTGAAATCAATGTCTTCCTTTTGAGCATACCCTTTTACTACCAGTCTTGCATGATATCGTTCCACTATATCATTACCATCACGTTTGATCTTATAAACCCATTTGTTTCCGATGGCTTTTCGACCTTGTGGAAGTGCAACAAGCTCCCATGTCTTGTTTTTGTGTAAGGCTTCTATTTCTTCTTGCATTGCTGCCATCCACAGAGAAGCATCTGAACTACTCACAGCTTCCTGAAAGGTTGACGGTTCTCCCTCTTCTGTTAAAAGACAGTATGCATCATGACTTGCCATTACATAGTCTGAGTGCCAAGATGGTCTCCTTATCTGACGTGTTATTCGTCGAACTTCTGTATTATTGGTTCTTGTTCCTCATGCTCTGGTTCTGCTTCTAAAGAATCTTCTTCTCCAGACTTTCCATCTATTTGTACAGTAGTAACATCTTTAAAAGTGCTGTCATTTACCTGTTCATTTTGCAATTCATTCTCTGCAAAGATTACGTCTCTGCTGACAATAACCTTGCGGGCAGTGGGATCCCATAGGCGATACCCCTTAATTCCGTCAGCATAGCCCAAGAATATGCATTTTCTGGATTTTGGATCCAACTTTGTTCTTTCTTGGGAGTTGTACATTACGTACACAGGACATCCAAACACATGTAGAGAAAAGTACTCTGCTGACTTTCCTTTCCACATCTCCATAGGTGTCTTTAAATCAATCACAGTTGATGGGAATCGATTTATCACGTAACAAGCTGTCTTCACTGCTTCTGCCCAAAAAGACTTGGCTAATCTTGCTGTTCGCAAGATAGCTCTAGTCCTCTCTAGGAGAGTTTTATTCATCCGCTCTGCTACACCATTTTACTGAGGTGTATGAGCAACCGTGAACTGCCTCCTTATACCCTCCTACTTGCAGAATGCCAGAAACTCACCATCTGTATATTCTCCTCCATTGTCTGTCCTTAAGCACTTGATCTTCTTTCCAGTTTCAAGCTCCACTTGTGCTTTGAATTCCTTGAAAACTGGAAACACATCTGACTTTTTCTTAATTGGGTACACCCACAATCTCCTAGAGTAATCATCAATAAATGATACAAAATATTTAGCTCCTCCTAGGGACATTTCCGGTGACTCCCACACATCAGAATGTATCATGTTAAGTATGTGTTTGCTTCTAGTAGTTGACTTTTCAAATTTCAATCTATGTTGTTTGCTTGTCACACAGTGCTCACATAAAGGTAAGCTTACCGATGTGAGCCCGGGTAAGAGTTTACGTTCCGCAAGGACCTTCAAGCCTCGTTCTGACATATGACCTAGTCTACGATGCCACATTGTTGTTGATTCCTCTTGACTAGCTGATGCAACTGATACATCTGCCTCTTGCAACATATCTCCCAGAAGCATGTATAAGTTTGCAGCAAACTTATCTGCTTTTATCACTACTAGAGCACCTTTTACTACTTTCAAGATCCCACCTTCAATATGGGTCTTGTAACCGAGGTCATCCAATTGTCCAATAGACAATAAATTCTTTCTCAAACCCTTCACATGTCGTACCCCTTGAATTGTGCGAATAGTACCATTGTACATCTTCAATTTGACAGTACCGATTCCAACAATTTTCAAGGCGTGATCATTACCCATGAACACAGATCCCTCTGAGATAGGTTTATAAGTGCAAAACCAATCTCTTCGTGAAGTCATGTGCCATGTTGCTCCCGAATCTATTATCCAAACATCAGTGAGCTGCTTTTCACCTTTGGAACCAAGAGCTGCTTCGCTATACAGGATTTCTCCATCATCAGAGGTACTGGCAACACATCCTTGAGATGTAGTTGCCTCAGAAGACTTCTCTGCATTTTTCTTCTTCCAACAATCTTTCTTCAAGTGTCCTCTCATGCCACAATAGTAACATTTGAAATTCTTCCTTCCTCGAGATTTTGATCTACCATGATTTTGACTCCCACTGGAGTCACACTCTGTTGATCTTCCTCTTATCATCGTCAAAGCCTCTGCTTGCTTGGAATTTTCCAATCTATGTACCTTATTCTTACGTCTGGATTCTTCTTCTAGAGTAGCTCCAGCAACATCCTCAAAGCGTAGATTTCCTTCCATATTAGTATTTGTTATGTTGATGATGAGTTGATCGTATGAGTCTGGTAGGCTCTGAAGTAGAAGTTCCGCACGCTCATTTTCAACTATGTTGAAATTTGCTGCTGATAGTTGGGCAAATAAGGTGTTCAAATGATTGATGTGGTCCGGTCCGTCATCGATGTGGACTCACTCATCCGAAGAGTGTAGAGTTTCCGCTTCAAGAATATCCTTGTGTGAAGAGAGTTCACCTCATATAATTTGATGAGGGCATCCCAAATCTCCTTTGCTGTATTCTTTTCCGCAACACTGGATAGTACGGAATCTGCCATTGCTAAATGCAAATTTGCGATAGTGTTGCCGTCAATTTCCTTCCACTTCTGATCTGTCATTTCTGCGGGTTTTCCTTCAATTGCATCAAGGCAATTGTCCTTTCTCAAAATTGCCTTCATCTTCAATTTCCATAACGAGAAATTGTTCCCGTTGAACTTCTCTATCTCATACTTTGCTGCCATGGTTGTATTTTCACTTATGCAACTCTCACTTATGAATAGTATTGTCTACTGGAACAATAGTAGTAGACCGTGAACCAGTACACCAGATAAGTTCCCAGGAAAGAGAGGTGAGTCACTAATGGACACACTTAAGTACCAAGTCTTTTCTAGCCAGAACTTCCTTAGACAACAGTTTCACACTACCACACCTTTTCCAGTAAAAACTCTTTTTCTGATGTGGAAGATCAGATTAAACCGCAACCACAGAGCATACTAAGAATTTTACCAACACTATTCTAGTGACTAGCACAACGGAATAAGAACGTGGCTCTGATACCACTGTTAGGTATCAGACTACTTGCACAAGAACTCAACTAAAATAGAGAAGAGAAAAATTGAATAGCAATAATGGACAAAAGTAGAAATTTTATAATAGGAAGAAAAATTACACACCCCTTCTCTAGTCCTAAGAATGACAACCTTTTCTAATACTAGAGAAAGAAAGAAAATTTGGGATGGATAGAATGGGGGGTATGTGGTTTCTTATATAACCACTCACCCATACCCCCTTTGAAGTACCCACAGATCTGGGACTTTGTTCTCACAATTAAATCCTACAAATCATTATTCCCAGGATGTACAATTCCCAGTATGAAAAAAGTTCTCTCATATCAAACACCCCTTAACGTTAATTCTCAGTTTTTGCATACCTAATGGAAATGGTTTGTAATAGAAACTAATTTTATTAGTATTTTACATTCTAATTGAGTTATTGATTTCAGACTAGTTTTGTTGTTTTGGTGATATTTGCAATTGGAAAATGCAGGTATCCAGATAAAACTAGAGAGGAGATAGAGACTGCTTGCCCCTTTTGTCTTGGCAATTGCAATTGTCGATTGTGCTTGAAGGAGGATATATCTGTGGTTGTTTTTGCTTTCTTTCTCTTGCGTTCTGTTATGCTTTGTCACATATTTATTGCCTTTTGCACTTAGTGTGAACTGAATTATTAATCCACAGGCTGGGACTGGTGAAGCAGATACAGATGTCAAATTACAAAAGTTGTTTTACTTGCTTGACAAAATTCTGCCTTTACTCCATAGTATCCAACGGGAGCAGATATCAGAATTGGAAATAGAATCTAATATGCTTGGTATTCTGATTTGATTTGATTTGATTTAGTTATACTTATTTTAGTTTTGCATCTAGTGTACTGTTGATTTCAAATGTACGATAATATGACTTTCTTTCAGGTTCACATTTGCTGGAAGAGGAAGTTGTGCAGTCACTAATTGATGATGATGAGCGTGTTTATTGGTACTACATAATAAACCCTGATAGTTGAAAGTAAATAATTCCTGTTGTTGTGAATTTTGTTTCTTATGTTTTTATTTGTGGATTAGTTTTATTAAATGTATGATTAAGATTTGGTATAATCTAAAACATATAAAATGTTTGTTTGCTTGTATTAACAAGTAAAGCTAGAACCAATCATGGCCACAAAGTAATTGGTTATTTTGTGCCTTAACTTGGGATCTGGTGGAAAAGCTAAATGCAGCACACTAGGTGTTCAAATGGAGATTTATTTCCCGAATATTTTATTTGCTCTCTGTCTTCGGGAGAAATGCTTTTGAAGTTCTTCTGATGATCGGATGTGCACTGATGTTATAGACCTTTTCATTCGTTTTCCTTTGCTAAAGCTGATAGGTGTATTTTTCAAAATCCTCTGTATCTTTTATTCTTATTTTTGAGCAAGTTAATTGTGCAGTAGCCAGCAGCGCTTTAATCCCCCATATTCTTTATTTTGGAATTGATATCTGTGAAATTTGTTTTTCTTATATTAGTTTGAACAGTTTCACTTCTTAATTAGTTTTTTTGGGTTTAACTCCAGTTCTCATCTATCTCACTTTATAAGTTGTTTGCAAAATTTGACTAATCTTGTTTATTTTCCATAATCTATGATATTTTAAAATTTTCTTCTACAAATATTGAATTATTTCAGTGACAACTGCAATACATCAATTGCCAATTTCCACAGAAGTTGTCCCAATCCTAATTGTCAGTACGATCTCTGTCTAACATGTTGCATGGAACTAAGAAATGAATTTTACTGTGAGGAAATTCCTGCTAATGGCAATGAAGGAACAGATGATACACCACCTGTTACTTTTTGGAGAGCAGAGATAAATGGTGGTATTCCTTGCCCACCAAAAGCTAGGGGCGGTTGTGGTAGCACCATTCTTTCACTGAGGCGTCTTTTTAAAGCTAATTGGGTTGACAAATTGATTAAGAACGCGGAGGAACTTACTTTCAAATATAAACCACCTAATATTGATCTATCTCTAGGATGTCCAATATGTCACAGATTTGAGGAAGAGGCAGGACAGAATTCTGTAAGGAAGGCAGCATCCAGGGATATCAATCATGGTAACTTTTTGTACTGCCCAGATGCTGTCAATATGGGAGACACAGAATTTCAGCATTTTCAAAGACACTGGATGAGAGGTGAACCTGTAATAGTTAGGAATCTTTCTCAAAAGGGTAGCGGTCTTAGCTGGCATCCAATGGTGATGTGGAGGGCTTTTATGGGGGCGAAGAAGATATTAAAAGATGAGGCAACTACTTTTAAAGCCATTGACTGCTTAGATTGGTGTGAGGTGCATGCTTAGCTTTTATGATAGAGTTTTCCACCACTTTGTTATTTGTTATTTTCATTATGTATTATGTCTTACATCCCGTTTACTGGCAGGTTGTTACCATGGGCAGATCAATCATAACAATAAAAATAGATTCTTTAGAATTATTTGAATTTGTTATTAACCAAATACTGTAATATAATAAAAATAAATTTTTACTTGGCTTGATATGCCCATGATTACTCGTTTTGAGGTAAAATGGAGTCTGCTAATACACATAATTTTCCTTATCTAAAGAGTCTCAACCATCATCGCACAATATTTGAACTCTACAACACCATGCTTTCCTCTACCCCAGTAGTCCCCACCCTATTGAATACTCTACTTTTTAGTGTTTTGACAGAGGAAGTCGTATGTTAATTGGTCATCAAATATTAGTTTTCCAGTCCACTAATGGAAAATCAAATATTTGTCTTCCAGTGGGATAGTGGAAAAATGGTCATCAAATAACAATTAACTGACATGTTTTTCAGTTTCTGTTTGAAAATTTCAATTGCAGTTATTTACCAACAAATATTATGTTCTTTATGGTGCTCCAGGTTGATATTAACATCTTTCGGTTCTTCAAAGGCTACATGGAAGGTCGTAGCTACAGGAATGGATGGCCAGAAATGCTAAAGCTAAAGGATTGGCCTCCATCAAACTCTTTTGAAGAGTGTTTGCCAAGGCATGGTGCTGAGTTCATAGCTATGCTTCCTTTTAGTGACTATACCCATCCCAAATCTGGTGTTTTAAATCTTGCCACAAAGCTTCCTGCTATTTTGAAGCCAGATTTGGGTCCTAAGACATACATTGGTTATGGCTCTTTGGAAGAACTAAGTAGAGGTGATTCTGTGACAAAACTACATTGTGACATTTCAGATGCGGTAAGTTATGAATTAGAAGTTTTGTGGAATTTGTGTCTTACTACAAGCAAGAATCCATCTATTGTTCTATTTTTGTGTACATTTAAAACTAAGAAACAGTACAAATGGCAGTAATTACACCCCATCAATCTGATAAACTAATTAATGTTAACTAAAATTTTCATATTGCTACATGTTTAATGTGTGTCAAATTTTGATACGCTCCCTTAAGTAGGAAATCATATGAATGAATTTGTTAGTGTGCCTCAATTGTATTTGGGAACATATAATAATATTAGGTGTCATAACTACGTACAAGGATCGCCCTAATTAATGTAATTACACAATATATACAATCCAAGACGCACATGGTTGTTTGGACCAACCAAAGGATAAGACTTGTAGAGTTTAGGAAGGTTTTGTTAGACCAAAGGCCTTTGAGAGACTAGAGCAGAAGCACAGGACAGTCTTGCTTCAATACTGTTTGAGTATATACATTACTCGATTCTATTTTTCTGTGGTTTTTGTGTACCTCTAATTGTTGGTTTTCTTTGTAGGTTGGTAGCTTTTGTTATAGTCAGTAATGACCATAAGTTACTTAGAACTGTAAGCTTGTTTTCTTATATTTGTGTTGTTATAAATAGATAACAGTTTTACTATAGAAATGCAAGTTTTTGTACTCTCATCATAATGAAATCACTTTGTTCTTCTACTCTGTTTTCCTACCATGGTGCCCAGAACACGAAATGATCCTCCTTTGTAACTTCGGCTCTTCTCCTCCTCATAAAATCATTGAAGTGACTACTTTTTCTCATTCAATATATGAAAAACTTGATTTAGAATCATCTTCTATACTATCAACAAGTTGAACCTGTTTTTCAATTGGCAATCTTCATCATTGATTCTTCTGCAAGCTAACCTCACTACTCATGACACTAATCCTTCCTTTGATGCTATGCATTTGAAAAAGGTCGTGGTGGATGCTATAGTACATGCGGTGGTTCAGGACGTGGTCATTATTCTAGTATTTAATTCCAATTCTGTCACCATTATGATCATGAATCTTCTACTTGCTGTTATAGTTTTGCAGAAAATTATGTTCCTACTATGCTTCTGGATTTTCCTGCTTTTCCTACTTGGTCACCCATGCAATCTTCATATAATCAAGGATATTAAGCTTCATCAAATGTTCAAATGCCTTTCATATGTTCTTCCTCCATCTGACTTTGTCAATACCAGAGACATGTCTAATTTTGCTACTCATCCTAGTGCTCGCTGACCTCCAAATCAGACTTCACATTTGAATTCATCTCTGGTGTAGTCTAGTCCGCCTCCTCAAGCAAGCTCACTAGTACTGTTGTTGCAGATACGACCAATTGGTATCACGATTCGTCAACCTCTAACCATGTAACTAAGTTTTCTCAGATTATGTCAGGTTACTCCTTTTGATGAACCATATCAGGGTCTTAACATTAAGTTTGAAGGTGTTACTGCATTTTCCTCACCTCTTAATTTTAATATCTCTCTTACTCTAAATAATCTTCTTCATGTTCCTAATATCAGAAAATCTAATCGGTCAGTCAATTTTTTAAAGATAATGCAGTGTACTTTGAACTTCATTCTCTATTCTATTTTAAAATCACAGGGTACCAAACAAATGAGGTGCTCCTTCAAGGTCATGTTGGTCCAGAAGGATTTTATCAATTTTCCACATTGGTATCTACTCGTTGCAGTTATAGTGCTTGATGGCAAGGAAGGAAAGATGTGATGGTAGTGTTTTTGTTTTCTACTTTCATGTCCTTACAAAAAGCACAACATGGACTTTAGATATGTCTATTCCTCTTGGGTATTTAACTACACATATAGGATACAAATGTCCTTCGCCAGATGGAAAATTATTCATTTTCAAATTTTAGTGTTCAATGATTTATTCACCCACCGTGAGCTTCTGTTAGCTATATTTTATCTGTAATTCAGTCATTTGTCTATCTGACAGCCACAACTGTCTCAGTGGCAGTTGTACCTGTCAGTTAAGTACTAGTCAGGCTCGCTGGGCTTCTGTGATGGAATATCTTATATAAGCAGAAGCTCTGCACCTTTTATACATTTTTGTTTTCTAATTTTCAAGATATAGAAATGTTCTCCAAGATTTTGTGTCATGTCTTACCTCAAAAATAGTTAGTGTAAATTGTGTGCAAAATTCTTTAGAATAAATTAATAAAAGTGACTCGTTTAAAGTGATACAAGTTTTCTCCTTTCTTGTGTTTTGCAATGTCTACTAATTTCACTCATGGAATCATGTGATGTATTGATCAGGTCAATATTTTAACACATACAGCTGAAGTAAAGACACCACCATGGCAAACTAAAATCATAAAAAGGTTACAGAAGAAGTATGAAGCCGACGATATGCAGGAGCTCTATGGAAAAGACAGTAAGGCAATTGGTTCACGTGGAAGAAAACATCATCATATAGGTAGTACCAGACATCCAAAATCCTCTGAAAAACGAGACACTTTTGGGAGAGACTCAACCTTACTGGGAAGTCGAGGAAAAGGAGTGAAACCTATTGAACAACAATGTGGACCCCTAAATATGGGACAGTCAGAATCAGATATGGAGGCTTGTGTTCAAGGATTTTCAGAATCTGGCAAAAGTAAATTAAGGTTAAATGCTAGTGAGCCAGTAGTTTTCAATTTGAAGTCAAGTCATCAGGATTTTGATCTCCATAGTCATGATTCCAGTTGCATGTTTATGGAGAAAGATAGTAAGTTCATGCACTATAAAGTTAATAATGTCAAACAGTGTTCATCGTCCAGTGAAGGAATTTCTTTACCAGAACATATGCAGCTTAAGACATGCACCGATGATGATTGTGAAAAAGGAAGAAGCATTTCTGCTATGCATCTAATGGAAGATAAGTTTTGCTCTATCTATGACCAATCTGATACGTGTTCTGTGTTTGTTGATCTTAACCTTAGCACTCCACAAGTCAGGGTAAATCAAGAACATACGAGAAATTATATTGAACAATCCGATTCAAAAAGCAGGTGCATACAATTTGAGAATTTACCCTCCTACTCTGGGAGGAATGTTTCTGATTTACTCTTCACTCGAGCAGTTTTCACACAACTGTTTTTCTAATTGTAGGAATAGGATTGACAATGTTGTTTTGCAAGATGAGACAGATTTAGGTGGTGACTTATCTCTTGATGAATCATATGGACAAGCTCCTGATAATGATATTGGAGGATATCCAAACACCATTGAAGTACAGCCTTGCACTGTAACAGAAGATAATAAATTTGTCAACGGATTGAATTCTTTAAACATGCCATGTTCAGACATTAACATTGACAGAATTTCTGTTAAAAATGGCACAAGCAATGATTTATGTGAAAATGATGATAATTTGGAGACTCAATATGGGAGTGCAGTGTGGGACATATTCCGTAGGCAGGATGTACCCAAGCTAACTGAGTACCTGAAGAAACACCACAGAGAATTTCGCCACATAAATAATCTTCCAGTAAACTCTGTATGGGTTGCCTACCTAGTTTGGATGATTTTTATTAGCTTTGGGTAATTTTGTTTTCTGAATTAATATGCTTTACTTTTCTTTTGCCTTAGGTGATTCACCCCATTCATGATCAGATCCTTTATTTAAATGAGAAGCATAAAAAGCAATTAAAGCAGGAGTTTGGTATGAAATTGTGATTTAACTAATGATTGCTTTTATGTGGATTTTGTACTCATAAATTTTGTTCCTATCAGGTGTTCAAGCTTGGACATTTGAGCAACACCTCGGGGAGGCTGTTTTCATACCTGCTGGATGCCCACATCAAGTGAGAAACAGAAAGGTAACTAAGCATCCTTATTTTTATTAAAACAAAGTTAAACAAGTTTACATGTATACTTATTCATTATGTAAAAGAGAGAGAAGGACAGAAAGAAAACATAGATCATGTGATATACAAAATCATTTATAATAGACTACTCCAAAAAATATTGTGACATGAACAAATGTTACATTCAATTTTTTATTAAAATACTGATCTGTGATGAATTAATTTGTCCATACTGAACATCCAGATGTCTGCATAAACATCCATCATTTCTCAACTTGATTGTATCGAAACATATTGAGCAGATTGAGTGAATTTTTCTTTATAATTTGAAAGTTGCTGTGCTGGGAGTTATGCAATAAACTTAGGACACTATGGCTATAATGAAATCAAAATATCATTGAAAGCTTTCCCTCCCGTCCTTTCCCCTAATCCTTTCTTTTTGTCAAGCTTCTGTTTTCCCTTTTTTTTTATATATATATGATTTGTTGTACAAGACCATTTTTCATTTGACTACTTTTGTGCTATATCAAGTTTGACTCGGTTTTTTTCTTTTGAAGTCTTGCATAAAAGTGGCTCTGGACTTTGTTTCACCTGAGAATGTTCAAGAATGCATTAAATTGACAGAAGAATTTCGGTTACTTCCCAAAGGCCATAGATCTAAGGAAGATAAACTCGAGGTACATGTTTGCATGATTCTAAATCACATTGTAATTTATAACCTTATTCTGAAGTAGTTAGTTCAATTTTGTTTTGGAATGTAAATGGTCAATTTGTATTTGCTGGTCATGTGTCACAAATTTCATAGCTCTTATGTTGAAGCTTTAATAGAATAATATTATGGATTTCATTCTTTCCTGCTCTCATCTACAATCCATGAGCATATAGTTAGAATTTCCCTTATCAAACTGTTTTATGCTTTCTAACTTTCTTGCTCATGATTTGCATGCTATGTTCTTGTTGGTTACATCATCTAAAATACCTTCCTATTCTTAATATTTATATTCTCTCTTCATAAATGAAAAAGATGGGTACTATATACTTTGTATCTAGAGTTTGTTTCTTACACAACACATTCTTTGTTCATAGATAAAGAAGATGGCACTATATGCTGCTGATGTTGCAATAACTGAAGCCACTAAACTGATGAGAGGAAATGAGTAATTCACTCTTAATCTTTTTCCGCCTGCTTCCATGCTTTATTTTCATAGAAATGGTTTTCTTTGCAGTATAGTGATGCCATTGATGGTTTACTTAGGCATTCAAAAAAGACACATACATCAGTTTCATACTTTTCCCTTTTTACTGCAAATCTTTACTATGTGTTGGTCGTTAAAAATTTGTCAACCATTGGGTAATTATTCAGAGTTGCTTTTATCACTGATGTTTTAAAAATGATTTGTGTGGTTTAATTTGAATATAACATCAAATAATGGGGTTTCAAATTAGTAGCAATAGTTAACCGTGATTAAAACTAGTCATTGACCTTCAGCATGTAAAAGCATTGGTCTACGTGAATTGTGATCATTTGTGTGGAAAGGAAATATTGTTAGATTATTTCCTTCTCATTACTTGAGCTTAAACCCAATTTGTTTTTGGAGTGCTGTTTGGACTTAATGCATGTATGTATATTGGTAGGTTAAAAATACTGGTTTGACTACTGTTAAGCAGTAAATATAGTTATTAGGATATCAACATGTTAGCCTACAAAATATGAATGTTAGTTTCAATTTTCGATGTTTTCATAATCATTATATGTTCAAAGGTACTTAAATTATGCTCGGTTTCTACAAGTCACAAGTCATTATTGTATTAAATGAATTATCAAATAATCATTATTATATATGAAAAGTGAACTTTCCCACTTATAAGAGTTATTGTAGTCATTATACTTGTCGTTTTAGGAATGCCAAACCTGCACTTGAGACTAGAATATGAGGAAAAAGAGCTTTAGAGATTGATTAACTCACAGCTGATTCATTTATTTATAAGAGAAAGTATTCATGATTTCAAAGAGTGTAGAGACTAGGTTACACCTAGGTGCCAATAGCTAATACCAAAAGCAGCCTTTTTAGCGAAGATAGGTTAACCTATGTGAACATATTGGCTACTCTTTATCTACAGACTCTTCATTCTCATTATCATTAAGCCTGTTAATACATTTGTAAAGGCCATCCACCACTTTAACTAACCTTTTTAATGTTTAACATGCAATAAACTTGGCATTTAGAAAATAACCCACCACATGCATTGGGTTGTGAAAATGGCAATCTCATCTTCTATCAATGATACAATGATTGCATACATGTGCTTCTATTTATTTATCATTGTCATTCAAAGCTTTTCGAATTTCCTCCATTTCCTAATCCATTGCTTCGTATATGTAACTATTGTGGGTCATTTCCATTATCCACAATCCTCAACACATGTAAATAGGCCCCATAGTCTTCAAATTGTAGACAACATTCTAAAATGATGGCATAACATTTGATGCTTTTATTTTCTAAGGATCTTTAGCTTCCTTAGAATTCAACTATTGGTCCAAATGATCATCCTTCCAATATTGGCTTTTAGCTTATGCAATGCTTACAAAGTAACCAAAGGTAAGGTGTAGCAAGTCTTGCAATTCCATGTCTTCCCAATGTAGTCTTGTTTGTGAACTTACTCTTGGTTTTCAAAGCTAAATGGTTGTAAATAGGCTTGTTGGAAAATGTGAGTTGAAGTCTTACATTGTGTAGAAATGAGAAAGTTGAGTAACATATAAGTGAGAAAGATCCAAAAACCTAATGCTTTAAGGTTTTGGGTTGAAGGTGGTATATATTCTTTTATATGGTTGTCTTATGTCTAATTCATGAACACTGGCTTAGTGTTGCTCTCCTTACAAAAACCCAACAGTGGTAATCAAAGTAGATGGTTAATCTTTTTCGTGTACGAAATGGAGAAGGTAATGTATCTCATTCTAGTTAAACAGTTGTACAAGTAAGCACCACTAAGGTATTTATGATGAAAGAGATGAGGGGGGAAATTGTGTAAGGATTCACTTGAAGAGGAAGTGTTGAAATATTGGATAAAAATTAAAATTAAATAGAAAATAATAGGTTTAAATGTTGTTGAAATATTTTGATTTTGCAGATATCTTGGGTAGTTAATATTACGATTCTAGATAGTTATTATTTTGATATTTTAAAGCAAAATATATGGAATTATGGATTTGGGAAGTTAAAACAGAAAACCCATTTTGAACCTATAAATACCCAGTTGTATCATGCATTTTTCACAACATAGAAAACAATAATATTTAGCTTCCTCAATCTCTTCATTATTAAATTGGTATCAAGAGCTAGTGTTTAAGTGTGAGAGAGCTTGAAGAGAGTGATAGCCAGTCCAACAAATAGTGTGATCCTGCCTCGGTTGACAAAAACAGTTAAGTGTGATAATTGGAGTCTCCAAATGAAGGCCTTTTTTGAGATTCCAAAGTAATTGGAAGATAGTCGATGATGATTTTGAAGAACTAGAAAGCACCGAAGGAATTTCAACAGCCACAAAGCATTGAAAGTGAAGCGTGAGAAGAATAATGCAACCCTATACATGTTGTACCGAGTTGTTAATCAATCCATCTTTGAGAAGATAGCAAGTGTTAAAACCACAAGAAACGTGGGATGTGTTGCAAAGAGCATACAAGGACGTTAACCGAGTCAAATGAGTTCAGTTACAAACACTACGTAACAAGATGAGGAGCATGGGAATAAAGGAGTTAGAAGGAGTTTTCGAATATGTCACGCATGTTGAAACCGTGGTAAATAAGCTTAATCGGAATGGAGAGACATTTTCTGAAGACCATATTGTGGAGAAGATCTTGAGGTTGTTAACTAATGACTTTGAGAATGTAGTGTGCGTGATAGAACAATGAAATGACCCATCTGAGCTAATGGTACAAGAGTTGGTCGCTTTTATTGAATCTTATGAGCACTAAAAAAAAAAAAGGAGACAACGATTCAAGTGCTCCAGAGTGAGATAGGTGAGAAAACTCTCTACTCTCATAACACTCAAGGTAGAGGCTGAGGTAGTCAAGGTGGTAGAGGTTGTGAGGAGAAAGAAGAAAACTAACAAAATTGGTGTGATAGAAGACGTGGTCAGAGAGAAAGTCAGTCAACTAGTCACTCAAATGTTGAGTGTTTTAAGTGTCGTAAATATGATCACTATGTAAAGGATTGTTATACGGATAAGTGTCGCACTATCTACCCAATTGCCATCATTGAGGCCAGTGATAGACTAGAGAGTTGTGCCTCATGTTGGTGATTGTAAGGTTGGCATACACATTGTTAGAAGAATTGCCATGTGTCCTATTTTGACAATAACCACTTGTCGCAATTTCCACAATTAATGATTCTAGGACCCTCCCCCCCTAAGTGTACCTAATATATTTTTTTTTTTCCGACAAATGGGTTCTCTTTGCTACAACATGGACTATGGTGTTTTCTTGCAACACTCTTTCAACAACTTTTTTTTTTTTTTTTTCTTTTTCTCATGTTCCCCCATATCGACGATAAGAAAGCCTACAAGGAAGACCTTGATCGTCTTAGCACAATGATTGAATCATATAGTAAGTCCTCTAAATTGTGTACCTTGTCCATGAAATGTAAGAGTTCATTCAATATTATTGGCCATGTGTCTCAGGTTGGTTGGATTGTTGATTTAGGAGCAACATGTCAAATGACTCCATTTCGTATGCTCTTCAATTCATATCTTAAAATGACAAGTGATAAACTCATTTCAATTTCAAACGTTGACGAGTGTCCATTCGTGAATCTAAGAATATAACTTTTAAAACCATATATTGTATTAAAGGATATTTTATATGTCTCCCAAATGACTAATAATCTTATCTCCATTCAGAAACTTACAAAAGATTTAAACTAATGAGTGACATTATTTTTCTCGTATTGGTTTTTTAGAACCTTGTCACAAGGAAGGCGATTTTAATCGCTTTAGAGTAGAGAGGGTTGTATATCTTGGATCCCAAGGATCAAAATAAAACAATGGTCATAAGCTAGCAAGCAATATTAGAAACATTGAAGAGTTCCCAAATACAACTTGATCATAGAAGACTTGGACATCCCCCATTCAACCTACTCAAACCTTGTTCCCTCATTTGTTTATCGAAGTGTGAGCTAAGTACATCAAATGTGATATTTGTCAATTGTCAAAGCAAATCCTATCCCATTAGTAAAAATAAAAGTAATTCCTTATTTGATTTAATTCAGTCTAATGTTTAGAGACCTATTTTGGAATATATTTTTGGAGGAAAATAATTTGTTACTTTTATTGATGATTTTAGCCGTGTCACATAGAAATACATCAAGAAAAGTAAATATGAAGTTTGTCAAATCTTTGTTAGTTTTTTCCATCTTTGTCCAAAATTAATTTAGTAAAAACATAAAAAGAATTAGGTTTGGTAATGGTACTGAATAAGTGGAATCAAGAATTTTCCAATTTTTTGTCTCATAATGGTATTGTTCATGAACTAACATGTGTAAAAACTTTCCAACAAAACAAGATTGTAGAAAGAAAAAATCATTGTCTCCTAGAAGTTGCTAGAGCCCTCTTTTTCTACATGTTTGTTCCCAATACCTACATGGAGAAGTTGTGTAAATTGTCACATATTTCATTAACAGGCTACCCACTCACATTTTGAATGGTATTAGCCCTATTTAGTCATCTCAAGTTTAGAAGAAAATAACTTCACTCTTATTCTTTCTTGTTACATACATTTGATATATATACATTAACTGATTGGATAAATTAGGAAACAAGCACAACCTATTTTAGGAAACAAAACCTTGAGATTGTGGGATTGATGTGCTAGTAATAAAACCAAGATATAGCCAATATACATAATTAAAACAAATAGGAATAAAATTTGAAACTTCCTTAAATATCGACACTCCTCCTCAAGCTGGTGAATAAATGTTCTCCATTCCTAGCTTGGATATAATTCTCTCAAAGTTAGTGTTGTTCAACCCCTTGGTATGTTTGTCAATTGTTTTTGAGTAGACACATGGAGTACAAATCAAGCTACTATCAAACTTTTCTTTGATGAAATGTCTATCCACTTCAATTTATTTAGTTTTATCATATTGTACTGGGTTGTGAGTTATACCAAT